CTCCTCAGGCCAGGAGAATGGCTGAGGACAGAAGAGGAGAAACAATAGCTGGAGACCACAGGTATAGTTTTCGGGAAGGGTTGAAGGAGAAAAATCTCAGCCTCAGCTTTTCAAAGTCCTTCTTAATAAAGTGTACATAGGAATACAAGGAAGCACAGAACCAGCTAATTCCAGGCTGGCAGAGACAAATCTGCTTTACAGACTTGTCCTTAAAAAAATTGAACATCTCAAAACCAACCACAGGAAGTAACCAGTGCAAAATATCCCTGAACCCAAGACTCTAGATGTATCAATTCCAAATGTTCAAATAAAGACCTTTACACCAGATTTAGGGAACAAAATACAAGATAAATTGTTCTGCACCCTACTTTTTCCTCACCAAGGCTTCAGGTCATTAGGCAATTTCTTAACTGCCTCAGGTAAGAAAAAATATTCTCTGGAGGTAGATCGTTTTCTGATTTTGCACTAACAGATTTTTTGCATTTTAATGTATCTGGACATACTGACCTCAATTCCCTTGTGAGTGTCAGAATACAGAAGTCAAAGCTGCTGATCTAATCTGACATCTCTTCAGTTGTAGAGAAGTTTTACTTCTGTGAGGGGAAAAAGTCTGAAGAAAAAGCAGAAAATAGACCTATCCTATCTTTAACTAAGAATACTTTCTCTTCCAGTACCATTTTGACTCTCTGCCCAGAAACTCAAACGTAAGCCTCTTGATTGTAGAAGTCACAAGAGAATCAAGTGTTTGCAGAAGGCTGTAGAAGCAGGAGAGATGTTTCCTACTCCACTTTTGGGTCATAGTCTAACTGAATAAACTCAGCCCCTTAAAATTTTATTAGTTTAAACAAGGATTTATAAGTTTGGAAAAATGGTGCTTGGAAACAAAATTTAAGAAAAAGAGAAAGAGAAAGGAATGAAGAGCATAATATAACGACAGGAAAGCAGAGGTGTTTCCCTCTTCCACTGTCCTTCATTAAAATTAAAAAAACCCAAAACTGAAACTGAGAAGAATTTGTGTAGTCCTCCACTGTCATCAGTGCTAGTGGCTCTGGGACAGGAAAATGGCAGGGATTTGGGGGCCTGCTCACAACCCTCCTATTTCAAGCACTTTACACTGGTTAAGCTGGGCTTCTCAACCCCAAAGTGGGCAGCATCTCCCTGGGGCAATTCTGTCCCTGTACCCAGGTGCTGAAGGAGCTGTCTGACCTGGGGTCCAAGCTCCCACTTCAGTCGAGGAAATTACTTTCCTTGCACTCTTCCTCCCAGCACCGTCCCTTCTCGGCCCCAGGGCGACTCTGCCCTCTCCTCCCAAATGCTGTGGCAATCAACAAGACTGGCACTGAGAAATTGCAGATTTCCCAAACTCCCTTGGGGAGACTGAAGAGGGTCAAGAAACTCATCCATAACACCTCAAGTCAACGGTATTAGTATTTCCACCTCCGGTCCTTCTTTCTGCTCCAAGATGAGTTTTGCTCTAAAGGCATCTCAGCATCTTGCAGACAGCTACTGAAGATGCTCCATCTCCCAAGATTCATGCTAGAGGAATTTAGGAAGTTACTGCACCTAGATATATACTCACCACCACCACTGTCCCAACAGATATGTTAGACTTTCTCAGCTACTTCCCAGTTCATTAGTGTCCTAAACCAATGGCTCTGAACCAAGGCCATTGATGGACAGGTTCACCTTTATTCTGCAGCTCCTGCTAACCTTCGAGGGACAAGCTGGCACTAGTAACCTTATAAACAGCCCCTCAATGAATCCTCAAAGAACTCCATGTCCTTGCAGGATGGAGGTGAATTCCTGGCCTCCAGTGTTCACATAAGCATTGAATCATCCGACTCTATTCCTGACCTTTTGTTCCTTTCTATGCGATATTTCAAAGTTGTGTTAATAGTACGAGCTGCAAGGACTTACCAGACCTCTGAAGTGCTAGGACAGCAGTTGGATATCATGGAAGAATGGGCACACTTTCTAAAAACACTGTGACACTCTTGTCTCCCAAGATTGGCATGGATATTTGCCCTGGTGATACATCTCACTTGGGATATTTATGGTTTTTCTGCACTTGTAGGCCTATCGTTTGTTGTCACCCGATGAGACCTGCAACACTCTCAAGCCCACAATAAATCCCTGTGCCTACATTTAATGTCTCAAGAGACATATCCCATGGGGAATGCTTAATGTGTAATATTTAAGCCAGGGTAATCCAATTTGGTAACCAAATGACAAAGACCCTACGGCAGAAAGAGTCTATCATCCTTGCAAAGACCACATAGAATAAACTTTGGAATTACCACAACTGGCAAAAGTTGACCTGAATAGGGAGTTTATTTTAGGTTTTAATTTTCTATTTTGCACTGCTTGCAATTAAAAATAAATGGTATAAAGCTGGTTTATAAAAACATTACCAGACAAAAACCCTCTTTACCCAAATTAAAAACAACAACCCATGACAGGAAAATACTCCACAACATTTAGAGTTCTGCAGGGACTAGTATACATATAGGGATTTCAATTTTCCATGGCCTATAAGTGTTATAATCTCCATCAACTGCATGCACTCTGGGACCATGACTAACGCCAGTGCTTGAACCCTGATTGGTTGTTGGCCTCTTTCTTCTTTCTTTAACACTGAACTCAGATTTGATCCAAGAATTTGCAGGGATAAAAAAGCTTTTACAGAATTCTGTTCCTCTCAAGTCTAACCCACAGGTCCGTTATAGGACATTGTGTCAACAAATCACAGATGTCTGCAAGTCAATGCAACCAGTATGAACGGCCACAATTTGTCTCAGGGACAAAAGTGTTATTGCTGTAGAAACTGCATTGATAGAGATTAGAAGATGACTCAGGACATTCAGATGCCAGAACCGTCTTCATGATTTTACTACTAGTAGTCCTTTCTTTGCATCCATGGCAAATGTACCACCACACTTTGCAAGAGTTATTTTTCAAAATCATTATGTGTTTATCTCATATGCTGTGCCTCGACATTGCAGGAGTAGTTACAACCATTGATTTCTCCAGAATCCTCCAAAGTCATGAGGTCTCCACCTTTTCCAACCCCCACACCTCATCTTTAGAGATGTATTCCTACCTGAGTTGCTTTTTCCCTTTACTTTTCAGTGCAAGGCTGTCCAGAATGAACAGCTCTGGCAGCACTGGTACTACACAGACTTCTGTTTCAGTACTGCCACATTAACTACCCCGGTATGTCCTGCTTAGTCATACTAAAACAATGCTTCACTTTCTAGGACTGGATTAATTGGGACAGCAAAGGGGTTTTATCCCATTCATTACCATTCTTTATACTATTTGAAAATGATAACCAGATAGGGAAAAAGAGGAGACATGACCATTTGTCCAGAATTTAGGGACCACTGAATGCCCAAGGATCTGTCTTTCTGCTCCTGTTGAGGGGCAGGCTAATTCTGTGAAAGGTGACATGGAAAAGCAGCTCCAGCTGCCCCTGGGTGTCTTTCACATTTCTGCCTGGAACTTCTCAGAGGGGCATAGAAGACCTCTGGGAAAACACCCATGTCATGGAGTGTGGCTGGAAGGCTTTGTCATCTTACAGCCAGGTTGGGACTCTACAACTCTTCTCTCTACAACTACCTGAAAGGAGGTTGTAGTGAGGTGGGTGTCAGTGTCTTCTCCCAGGGAACGGGCAATAGGACAAGAGAAAATGGCCTCAAGTTGCACCAGGGGAGGTTTAGATTGGATTTTAGGAAAATTTTCTTCACTGAAAGGTTCGTCAAGCATTGGAACAGGCTGCCCAGGGAAGTGATTGAGTCCCCACCCCTGGAGGTATTTAAAAGATATAGATGTGGTGCTTAGGGACATGGTTTAGTGGTGGAATGGCAGTGTTAGATTAATGGTTGGACTTGATGATCTTAACCGTCTTTTCCAACCTAAACGATTCTATAATTCTATGACCATCCTTGCTTTCCCAGATGTTCCTCTGAGAAACAAGTGACCCACAGAGCGCTGTGCAACTCAAGATAGCAACAAGATGAGACATCTCAGAGGCCTCTGCCTCAATCAACAGACTGAGCTTACCCTATCTCAGTTCTCTCTTGAAGTCACACAGTTATCCTTGATATGCCTGGGCTAATGGTAAACCACTATCATGATTTAATTGACTTTCATGGGCAAAACATATATAATACTGTGGCTGCCAAAGTTTATACAGGTCCCCTTCAAGTAAGTCACTGCACCTGAGCCAGGAACCTGGGAACACGTATCAAAAAAAGAGAGGTAGGAGGTGACATCCAAAGACCAAGTTTCTATGGAATTAATGGAAAGGAGAAAGAGGAACCTACATATTAAATGAGAATCTTAGTTTGCCATGAACTATCAAACCGGTCTGGAAAGCAGATTTCTGCTCCATTGAGAGTTTTTAATAGCATTGGATAACTCAGATAAACAGAGACACATACAAAAATATTGAAGTTTTGGGAAGGTATTTACTTTAGAGTATTTACATAATGTTCACTTCCTCTTCATACATAAGCTCAAATATTACAAAGACACACACGCACACACCCCCTTTAATGAGGGAACTACATTCAACAGACCCACAAACATCCATAATTAACTTTTTTTCAGGCACATCCCTAGGAAAGTCTTCCAGGTAGTCCCTTCCCCAGAGCCCAGGCAATACCACGCTCTCACCAAGCAAACGAGGCACATGTGGGAAGAAAACACAGGGCATCCAAAGGAAAAGGGGAAAGAGGAGACAGAGTACAGCGATGACCCTGAGACTGAAACTTTACTTATCGCTGCGCTATCAACACCTGATAAGCTTTATGCCAGGCTTTTAATCTCTCTGTACCTCAATTTGCCTCAATTTTAATGAATAGAGATCATTATATCCAGTGTAGAAATTTTAGATAAGGGGTTTGGTAGGAGATACTTCCTGGCTCTGTAAGGGACATCACTATTAAAGCAGATGACTTTTCTCCATTCGCTGGCTCATCAGCAACTATTTTTCTTACCTGAGAAGTGTCATGGTTGAATATGACAGCATTCAGGTCTCCACAATTATAATGCTTGATGAGATCTTCAGTGGTATATGGGGCCTGCAAACTACCTGCTCGGAGGCTTTCATGCTGGAGCAGCGTTTGGTTTAGAGCAAACAGCACCTGTAGAAACACAGACAGGAAAAACAGGGAGGAGTTAAAGATATTAGGAATCAAAGCAGTAAAGCCTAAAAGGCCAAACTTTGAAAAACTCTCTGCACCTGAAGTCTATTGACCCATCCTGGCCCAGAGTAACAAGGGCTGGTCTTTAGGCATTCCCAGCTGGAAAGAGGATCAGATGCAAAGTCCTCTACTAGTAGAAGACCTTATTATAAAGACCTTTAATAATCCTTATAAAGTATAACTTCACAAGACATACGTATATTGCGCAGAGATCACGGTCTAAGGACTTTTAAACTGTCTTTGCTGACTACTTAGCTACGTGAGAGACACTGAAATGAAAAAGCCCCTAAATGAGGAAATTTTTATTGCCTCTGACTGTTCCCTATCTGCTAGCTTAAATCCAAAGCCCAAACTCAGAAGGTGTTTTACAAAAATCAGAATCTTCCAAACTTCTGTCGTCACAGTTGTAGTATTGGAAATTTCTGCATGCTTCTAGTAGCAGAAACTTTACGAAATTCCTTATTAGTCTCCCCCCTTTAGTCCTTCCGCCTTCACCCACCCTTTTGCAAAGTGAACGGAGATACTGAATTGTAACACTGTCCTAGCAGACTAGTTGAGCGTCCCCATGCTGAACCTGAAAATACCAAGAAAGCAGAAGCACTCTTTACTATGTAAATTTAGGTAACCAAAAAAAAAAAAAATTCCCTTAAAGATGCTGTTTTTTACCTTGCATTACCAAAAAGGCTACTAAATTTCACATGAGTTACCACAAATCTTTTTATATTTGTGATGGACTGTGGGATTAATTTATACCAGTTACTGAACCACTAAGTCTGGGCTTTTTATGTTCAGCTTTCCAAGAACTTTCCAAAGAAACTTGATAAAAAGTAGATGAATAAATCAGAAGAACAGCAGTTCAGATGGTTTGTCTCAAATTATATAAATAAGTAAATGCACTTTTCCTAAAATAAAATGATACATAGTGCCTGCAAATTCAGAGCTCTGAAAAATTATATTGATGTGCTGTTTTTCATGAAAAGTCTCCTGCATCCCTCAGCCTCACGTTCCACCACATCTTCAGCTTCTCTCCTTTATAACAGCAGTGCCCTCTCCATCCCAAAGAATAACCTTCATCTCAAAACCTGGGTAAAGTAACCCCGTGCTGAGCTCCAGCTGGCCCAGCCGGGCTGCGCTCTGTGACACGTATTCTTATTTACTTTCTTAGCTTTAAGCAACTGAACCCACTTTAAGGACTGAACCCCAGAGGATTTTAAAATTAACAACGTACATATGTATTTTCAGGATGTAAGTTCTGATTAGTTTAAAATTATGATTCCCATTGAAGTTTATCTCAGGGAAAGGAAACAGCCAATTGGATTTACTCTTGCAAAACCTCACGTATATAACAAATATGAGCTGAGATTAAAAAAAAAAAGAAAGAAAAAAAAAGTATCTCCAGGGCATTAACAGACTCAATACAAAGCTGTTACATGCTAACTAACATACACAAATTGTTTGAGGAAAAGCAAATGTTATTTTTTCATTTACTTTTAAAAAAATGTAAAGATGGTCTTTCAACTGAACCTGTCATACCTCAATTCGGCAATCGGTTCCCCATTAAGATCCAAGCCTAAAAGATTTCCTTGCCCAGATCTAAGAGTTTCTTCAGGCTTTTCTACAAAGAGATCAATCTTTTTTCCCAGGTCCACAGCCTGAAGTTAAGCATCTTCCTAACTTAGTTTTTCTCTAATTTAAAAAATCTGCAAAAAATACAGTTTCAAAAATTTCTAACCTTTGAAAGGATCTGAGCTTTTTCTTTTTCCCCCCAAGGGCTACAGCTCGAAGAGGAAATGGTTCATCCCAGGATTTCCTGGGGATTCTAAACATTTTGGCTAATAAAAATAAAAGCTTAGAAAAACGTTGACAGGAAAACTGAGAGCAGAGGTTTTCCCAAAATGCTTTTAGTAAAATCCTTCTCATTTTTGATTTTTTAAACAATGGATGTTGTTGGATTTTTATATACAAAAATATGTATACACACAGGCACACACGTATACAAATCACCAAACCCTGAGGATAAGACAGTGTGTTTTATCATACAATATTAAGATGGCAATAAACAAATCCTTGCTTTACTCCCAATGTCTTTTTTTTTTTTTTTTTTTTTTTTTTTTTTTTTTTTTTTTTTTTTTTTTTTTTTTTTTTTTTTGTTATTCTGGCTTCCTGGGGAAACCAGTCCTGTGCATTAATGCTCTGGGTCTGTCTGTCTGTCTCCTCCTAATAAATTTGGAACCTATTAGCTGATTTCAGTCACATTTGCAGAGGGTTAGAGGTCTTAAGGAAAATTGCCTATACGTTCCTTGAAAATAAGTGCTGGGCTGCAGAAAAGCCCAGAGCACGAGTTTAGTTCTTACAAGACATCAAAGATGCCACATGTGATGGAATGGGTCATTTGGAGTTTACAACACTAGATGGACCCCTGTGCATCGGACCCCAGATTTCATTAGTGTCAGGACATTCGCGTCCCTGTCATCCACCCCTGAGCATCTCTGGGACCAAGAGGTGATGCTGGCCACCAGCTAAAGTCCAGCACGCTGCTACCACTGCTGGGAAGCCCATTGCTGGGTTCAAACTACTGCCCGAAAATCAACTCAAGAGATTTATTTTAGGAGGGAAGTTAAAATTAGAAACTCAAGCACATGAATACACTAAAGAAAAGCTACAACCACTTAAACAGATTTCTAGAGAAGTCTTATTTAGTCAAGCCATAACCACCATGGTTTTTGGTCAGGCAGCTCAAAACAAACTCAAAGAGAAGCGGGGTCTTGTCGCAGCTGCCTGCTAGTTGGCTGGATTTGTAGACCATTTCCTTCAGAGCCAGGTTAAAGCCATCTTAAAACCTGAATTTATTTTTCCTTACTGTTCAGATAATGCCACAAAACCAACGCTGTTTCCTTTTCTTCTCTCTATCTTAATATCAGTGACCCCACGACCTCCAGCCTAAACCTCTATCTGAGTTAAATCTCCCAGAGGTGCCCGAGATTACTGAACAACCGATGACTTCAAAATAAACACACTTAGAGCAACTGCCTAGACACAGTCCCACCTAATAAATACAGCAGACAGTATTTGTTCTGGGAAGTGATGGGAAGTTATGACTTCGGCTCTGGGAAAGTGCGTTTTTATTCACGCAATTTATGGCCCTCACATTAGTGTGCTTTGAAGGCCATTTTTGCATGGCTGTCCCTGGCCCCTGTTTGCAACAGCTCAAGCATGGACAACAGAAAGGAGTTTTCATCCTGCCAGGAGGAAGTCTTTTTATCCATGAGGTGTCATTCTCCTGTGCAAATCAGCAACTCGACGCACAGAGTTTTTTGGGGTGTTTGGAGACACCAGCTCAGCCCTTAGGGCAGACCTATGGGTCCTGTTTTACTGCCTAAGAGAGCGGGTACCACCAATTCCACACAGCACCAGGAACCACCAGGCCAGACTTTTTAGCAGCTCTTTTTCCACAGACTATGGCCATCTCAAAGATAAGGGGGCCAGACCAATCATTTCTGCCATGGGAAGGTCAGAGAGGATGCAGCAGAGCTGGGCTCTTGTATCACTGGTGACTTCAGAAGGATCCCCAGGAGGGGGGACAATCTACAGCAACCCCAAGTGTCATTTCTTGGTAAACAAGACTGTGCCATGCTCGTGCCAACTGTTCTCACCATCACCTAACAGCATCTGTGCTGCTGCCTCGCTTTAACCTTTGCTCTTTTGCCTCTGTGATCTTGGGCACTTTGGTTGCAACCAAATCTGCAGAGACCAGCCTTTGCCACTCATGTGCAAGCTCACTCCAGGCTTTGACAAGGGACCAAACAAGCCCAATGAAGACCAATAAAGGAAACAGTTTTACCGATTACCTTGACACTCAGTGTTTCTTGCCCACGTGCCTCTGGATTACAGAGCCAGGAGTCACATATTAATGGAAGGCATGGATTACAAAACATTACCTCACATACAAACCAGCTTGAATGTTTAAGCCATTTAACTTTTAACTTCAAAAGATGGAATATTAGAAAACCTCCAAACCCCTCATATGAAGCAAGCAGACAAAACTGCATTGGGTCTCAAGGTTTCAAAAGGAGCTGGCATTGAATAGAAGTGTTGGTATAAACACAACAGTATCAGCTGTTGGGACAGTTTGAACTTTGTTTTGCAAGCCCATGGGAGTAGATGGTTTGATTTTATGTGGGATTTTAATGAGATCTGGCTTTTAGGCAAGTAAACCTAATCCACAGAAACAGATCGAAGAAAGCATTGCCACTTTTTCAAATAGGGAGGGGAAGCAAACAGATGTGTACCCAGATCGGGCTTGGGAACACTTGAGGCTTTCCACCAGCAACCTTGTTCTTCATTGTATTTAGTTTTGGGAGCAAAGCTAGATAAAAATCCCACTTGTTCACAGGTACTCTCACAAACCTTCATGTATCGTGTTTTATTGTGCCACAAGTCTCCAACTTCAGAGTGGACATTTGAAGGCTCCTGAAGGCCAGCAGCATGTTAGTGCGATAGGTAGTAGCTAAAGAGGAAAAATCATGGCCTTTGCACAGTAGAGACTTCTCCTTAAAAGAAGAAATAAGATGGTCACTTTTCTAAAAGATGCTATTCAGTACATGGATTCTTTGCCATGATCACCACCGAACATCAGCCCAAGGATGAGAGTTAGCTGTATCCTTTCAGGTCTACATTTTTAATACTTTTGCATAGGTGAGTGAGTTGACTTTGGCTGATTACACTGAATGCTCACGTGCTTTGGCAGAAATCAATTTCTGACAAGCTCTGACAGCAGCTCGACTCTGTGCCTACCACCTTGTCTAGGAGGCAATACTACGGATTCCTAGCCATGCGGAAAGGTTGCCAGGGCCACATCTTCAATTTGTCTGACTGTGCTCTCAAATGGTGCCACAATGGAAGAACAGCTTCATGGGGGCATCTGAGAGGCCATTGTAAAA